GTTTGAGGAAATGGTACACTCTTGGAAAAAAGGGTTCCAAATGGGTTCTTCGTAATTACCCTTTTTGGTTCCAGGTAGAACCCTTTTTGGTTCCATGTAGAACCCTCTGTAGAAAGGGTTCTACATGGACCCCAAAATAGTTCTACCTGGAACCAAAAAGGTTTCGTCAAAGGGTACACCTATGGGGACAGCCGAAGAACCCTTTTACGTTATAGATAGCACCTTTTTTTCTAAGAGTATATGCAGATTGGTTGGGTTTCTAATCTTGGAAGCTCACAAGATCAGTGATGATTGTAGGATCATAACACATTCACAACATATTCTAACATACTGTACAAGGCCAAGGACATCATGATACAATTCAGGATGTGATTCAGATAAAAACGTTGTCATGATAAAAAGCTATTTTCAGAAATGGGCATAGTGATTTTTTAAAGATTGTTGATGGTCAACAGTTTATTTCGGAAGAATGATCTGAATTCATACGTTTTCAGAGAAGGCCTCTATGAAAGACAGTTCATGGATCACTAGTGTGTGCTGTAAGTAAGTTTAGTATGGATATTTATGGTGAGTGGCTATGTATCTGAAGGAGCTCTGAGTGTTTCCTGCTGGGTTGTGTACTCTCCGGAGGAAACACACACACACACACAGTTTTGTATTGCTATCCTTGTGGGGACCAAATAATTGATTCCCATCCAAAATCCTATTTTCCCTAACCTTAATCCTTAACCTAACCATAACCCTAACCTTAACCCTAAGCTTAACCTTAAACCCAAACCCTAAAACTATACCTAACCCTAATTCCTAACCTTAAACCTAACCATAACTCCTAACCCTAACCTTAATTCTAACCCTAACCCTATTTGTAACCCTAACCCTAGCCCCTAAGGCTAAAATAACATTTTTCCTCATGGGGAGTGGCAAAATGTCCCCACTTGTCTGAATTTTTCTTGTTTTACTATCCTTCTGAGGACTTCTGGTCCCCACAAGGATAGTTAAACAAACACACACACACACACACACACTGTATGTTGTAATAGAAACACACACTTGTCTTTACAATCACAGCAGCTCTAAATATTTTATTTTGATAGCATCGGCGCTAAAAGTGGCACCCCGTGATCGAAAGCAGTCAGATGATGACGACTTTATTACATATTTATGAGCCGCATCGACATGAATGTGGATATTAACATACATCATCACTATGCCTCTAGATAAACAGTTCACTGTTGGAAGCATAACATGATTACTAAAATAAGACTTGCCGAATGAATCTTTATTCATTTTCCTTAGTATTTGTCATGCATATCTGAATGAAAAAATGCACTGTTTAGAGTGTAAACAAGGCATGTCTTTGTAGATATGTATAAAAAAACAGTAAGAAAATTCTATAAAGGCTGTGTATTGGAGATTAATATTTGCTAGATAGACAATCAGAAAATACAAGAACATTATGCAGCCAGTGTATGATCAGACCGAGGTTCAGTGTAGCTATATTTAGCCGAAGCTAAGTACTTCCTGTTACCAGTCGGAGCCTGTCCTGTGTTCTCAGATAGCCTTTCATGAAGGTTACAAAGGGAAATATTAGAAACCACTAATCCAATCCACCAAGTGCTAAGCTGCATCTGTCTGACAGACAGACTGACAGACTGACAGACTGACAGACTGACAGACAGACAGGAAGCAGATATAGACCAGTAGCCAGCCGATCCAACCGAGCGGAGCTTGTTTCATGTCGGAGAGTTGGAGGAGCATCTAAAGTCGCTGCTGAATTTGACATTGATCTGTCATGGCCTTGGCGCTTCCATTTCTGCTCCTCAGGGTTGCCGAGTCATCTTGGCAGCCATACCTGTCCACCAACACCCCAGCCCCTCCCCACTCTTGCATCCCGCATCATGATTCGTCAGCTGGGGAGACTCCGACTCTCTGGGGCAATGGGTTTCAGCGTTCAGCACTTTTCTCCGTGTCCTTGAGGGAGTGCAGGAGGCAACCTCTCGGCTTCCGACAGAGCTGGACCCGCTCATTCTCTACGGCAGAGTTCTCCAACTGGCGGCCCGCAAGGCGCATTTGGCCCACTGGTGGTTTTATTTGGCCCACCCAAGTTTTCTGAGCAAATAAATAAATAATTATTTTTTTGTGTGGAATTTTCATTGTTGGACATAAAAGACTGTAAAAAACTCCAGGAAATCAGCTCCAAGTGAATTGAAATCTGTTCCCAAGTATTCCCATGCATAGTAGAGAGACACATGATCGTGTACAAATGTAAGCAAGGTTTGAAATGATAATGTTTTAGTCAAACATTATATCTGTTTTCAATTTGCATTCTACAAATTATTTGAAATTAGTTCCAGCCTTGCAACCATCCACTCCAGAAAAAATCGGCCCGCGGTTGAATCTAGTTGATGATCCCTGCTCTACGACCCCAGAAGCCAAGGAGGATGAAGTGGATGTAGACAGGGAATCTGTTTACTTTTTGAAACATTTGGCCCTAAGGAGTGCAATGGCCCAAAGGCAAACAGGATATAATTGTACTGATGGTATTTACTGTGCTTTGCAGTGAATCTACTGTACAATTTGAAAGCATCACACATTACACACACATCTTGTATACTTTAATTCAATGTTACTTTTTTGGATAGGATCACCTTTCAGTTTGGTCTTACACTAAATGGCCAAAAGTATGTGGACACCTGCTCGTCGAACATCTCATTCCAAAATCATGGGCATTACTATGGAGTTGGTCCCCCTTTTGCTGCTATAACAGCCACCACTCTTCTGGGAAGGATTTCCACTAGATGTTGGAAATTTGCTGTTGGAACTTGCTTCCGTTCAGCCACAAGAGCATTAGTGAGGTCGGGCACTGATGTTGGGCGATTAGGCCTGGCTCGCAGCGGGCTTTCCAATTCATCCCAAAGGTGTTCGATGGGGTTGAGGTCAGGGCTCTGTGCAGGCCAGTCAAGTTCTTCCACACTGATCTCGACAAACCATTTCTGTATGGACCTCGCTTTGTGCACAGGGGCATTGTCGTGCTGAAACAGGAAAGGGCCTTCCCCAAGCTGTTGCCACATAGTTGGAAGGACATAATCGTCTAGAATATCATTGTATGCTGTAGCGTTAAGATTTCCCTTCACTGGAGCTAATGGGTCTAGCTCGAACCATGAAATACAGCCCCTCCTCCACCAAACTTTACAGTTGGCACTATGCATTCGGGCAGGTAGCGTTCTCCTGGCATCCGCCAAACCCAGATACATCCGTCGGACTGCCAGATGGTGAAGCGTGATTCATCACTCCAGAGAATGCATTTCCACTGCTCCAGAGTCTAATGGTGGCGAGGTTTACGCCACTCCAGCTGATGCTTGGCATTGCACATGGTAATCTTAGGTTTGTGTGCGGCTGCTCTGCCATGAAAACCCATTTCATGAAGCTCCCGACGAACAGTTGTTGTGCTGACGTTGCTTCCAGAGGCAGTTTGGAACTCGGTAGTGAGTGTTGCAACCGAAGACAGACGACTTTTACGCGCTACGTGCTTCAGCACTTGGCGGTCCTGTTCTGTGAGCTTGTGTGACCTACCACTTCGCGGCTGAGCAGTTGTTGCGCCTAGATGTTTCCACTTCACGATAAAAGCACTTGCAGTTGACCAGGGCAGCTCTAGCAGGGCAGAAATTTGACGAACTGACTTGTTGGAAAGGTGGCATCCTATGACAGTGCCATGTTGAAAGTTACTGAGCTCTTCAGTACGGGCCATTCTACTGCCAATGTTTGTCTATGGAGATTGCATGGCGGTGTGCTCGATTTTATACACCTTATAGCTACGGGCGTGACTGAAATAGCCCAATCCACTAATTTGAAGGCTACTACTTTTGGCCATGTAGTGTACATTGATACTTTAAGTTTAAATCATTGCTTTGGAAAATGGTAGCACCAGGGGCAAACATCTATTACCCTTTATCTTATTGATTTCAACTTAGATGTGTGGTCTATTTGACTAATTGCTCATCAATACTTTTTGAAAACGCAAAGTTTTTTTTTTTTTGTATGTTGCAAAATGAAACCAGAAATGATAATGTAGGAGCATATCATTTCCATAGAAACCACAACGATTCAAATCAAAGTTGACAACAGCATTTACTGGAATGTAGCTTTCATGATGAAGAGAATACTCTATTGATATGTCATGTTTATATTTAATTACATATATGGCACTTGACGACATAAAATCAAGAAAATAAATTTCCCCGCAAATAAAAGCAATGGGCTCTTTCTTGGGTGTAAAGAAAAAATAAATAAAAAAGCATTTGCAGCACCCCCTCCCCACGCCCCAATGGAGTGATCAGCTAGGTTAAGGTCAATGGTGCAAACTCAGGCAACCACAACAACTGACAGTGCTAATGTAATTTATCTATCTGGCAAATATGTGAAATGAGTGAAATAGGCTACTAGAAGCATATGTGTACATTTGAGGAATATTGACCCCAAAACTGCCAAATAATGTGTGTGTTTCCTTCCTATAATGATATGTGGAGTTTAAAACCGGTGGAATGGCATTAAAAGACCGTCACAGCACAAATCGGATATATTTTGGCTCATTATTCATATTTAGTGCAAGTATTTACTCCATGTTCAACCGCTGAAGTGAACGACGAGTGAATATGTGAACACACATAGCCTATATTATATGCTTTTAAGCATTTTACAAAATATAGGATAAACCATACTAAAAAGTTGCATCAGTGCCTTCTCGTATATATATATATATATATATATATATATATATATATATATATATATATATATATATATATATATATATATAATGACAAACAAACGTTTTGGTCCGTTTGTTTTTTACTTACCCATAAAAGACAAATAAATTCGATCTACCCGACCTACTTCGCAAACGAAGTCGGTGAGATAAAAGGTCTACCACATTCTTATTAAATATATTAGAATTCTTTGTAGGCTACAATTGTTCCATTCAGTTGTGCTGAAATCGACAGCTACACATAGGCAGAGTCACTTGATTGAGTGCGGCCGAAATTGGGCATGCTCATTCTAGGCAAGTCTTTGTTACGGATCTCGTAGATGGACTTCCTCCTGGCCTGCACGCCTTTGACAGCTACTTTGATCTTCTTCCATCCAAGATGATTGAGTTCAGCCAAGTTCAGAAGCACACAGACGCCACTGACTGCAAACATGAAGACCAGAAACACTGTCTTTTCCGTGGGCCTTGAAACGTAGCATTCTACATCTTTGATGCAGGGGTATCGATCACACTCATATACCGCGGGGACATTGAATCCATACAGGAAATATTGACCCACCAGGAACCCTATCTCTAGCGCGTTTCGGAAAACCACTTGGATGATGTAGAATCTTGAGATTCCCTCCTGCCTCCTCATTTTAGACTTTCCACTAGTTCTCATGGCCGAATTTGGGATGTCCTTCACCTCCAAGCAGTCGGGCTCGGCTTCTTTCGTTGAGTTCTCCGTGTTCTGAAGTACTCCATTCACAATGGTGTTTTTTATCTTTTTGCTGTCGTCTCTTTTGATGGAATCTTGGCGCTTGTCCAAGGAGAGGAACACCGTGGAGTACCCCCGCTCCAAGCGCTCCTTCTGCTTGGCGGACTGGTGCACGGAGTAGGTGATGAAACAGAGACTGGGGGTACACACCAGAATAATCTGAAACACCCAATATCTGATATGGGAAATGGGGAACGCCTTGTCGTAACAGGCCTGGTTACAGCCGGGCTGCAGGGTGTTGCACACAAACATGGACTGCTCGTCATCATAGACAGTCTCTCCAACGATCGCAACGATTAGAATCCGGAAGATCACCACCACAGTTAGGAGGATCCTACAAAACAAACAAGCACGAAAACAAAATGTTGCTGTTTAGATGTGGAGATATGATAGGCTTAATCGTTAAACAAACAAGATAGACACAATTAGCGATTGCAAAGTAAAGCTGACTCTAGTGTAGGCTACTAAGCGAGCGCTAAATGGGAGCTGTCCAGTGCTGAAAGCCACCAGCCAGTTCTGTTCTAAAAGGAAAGCGCCACAGTGTTTCACCTCAAGTGACAGCTCTCTTATCACAAAATGTGTTATCAAAAACATTTTTCGTGAATGTTATGTTTATGCCATGATTCCATATTGGTTCACATTTTTAGCATATTGTCATGAATTTTATTTTGGCGTTTTTTTTTTGTACAGTTCTTTATGCCCAATCACTTTCAGCACTTGACTTCAACACACACTCCTTCTAACACTTTTACAAAGCTATCCTCACTTTCCCTCTTACCTTCCGATCATAGTAGAATGCTGTTGGACAGCCGCCTCCAAGAGACGTTCTAATATTGTCCACTCCCCCATGGTCATTCATTCGGAGACAATAGCACACCGTGCACCGTGCAAAATTCCTGTGGAATCTATTGTTTCCCGTGTTTTACTCTCCAGATGCTCCAATATCTGGAGAATGCATTGGTAACGCACCGCTGCTGCGTTCGCTCTTGCCTTCTACCTTCTGCGCCTCTGCTAAAAGCTCACTCGACAACCCAAGCACTTTTGCTCGTGCGAGCCTGAGTGCTGATTAGTAGAAAGCCCTCCTATTTTCGATCGCGCGCGCGGGACGGTATGTCGCGCGGTGCTTGAACGGAGGGCAGTTGAGTTTAATGTCCGTAGAGAGCTAATCCTGCTTTAAGTATACTCTCCTTGCGTCACGCGCGGACAGGTTGGTGGAGAGAGGCAGAGAGAAACACCAGTCTTTTTTTACTTTCATTGTTCTCCAAGTATAAGGCGGGAATGTAGCATATTAATATGTAATACAAATGATTGGTTATAAGCTCAAATCACGGGGGATGTCTGTCGCCTGTAAGACAACCACATGACAGTGACAGAACGAGTAGTGACCGCTTTCAGAATTTAAGAAACACAGAGAGAGAGAGAGAGAGAGAGAGAGAGAGAGAGAGAGAGAGAGAGAGAGAGAGAGAGAGAGAGAGAGAGAGATGAGAGAGAGAGAGAGAGAGAGAGAGAGAGAGAGAGAGAGAGAGAGGAGAGAGAGAGAGAGAGAGGAGAGAGAGAGGAGCTATCTCTCTTCTCGTTCTCTCTCTCTTCTCCGATAGCATCCTTCTCACTCTCGTCGCTCTCAGAGAGCGCCCCTATTGTTCTGGTCTGTATTCTCTGTAAGCCTATTCTGTAGACTATTATTGTTGTCATGATGGAGGTCCACAACGTTAAAACTGCTTCTGTTGTGGAGAGACTATATTGAAACATGCCTGCAGGGCTAAGCCATTAATCGGTTGCTGACCCTTGATCTTTACTGATGGCTATAGTGTCTGTATAAAAACAGATGTTACAGTCTATCAGGCAAAGCAACAATACATTACCTTACAGTAGCCTAAGCATTTGTTTGTATTCAAAGCCGCGATAATTCCTTAGCCTATACTCTCCCAGACAAGTTGATCTATCTGGGTTGAGTCATCTCTTTAAAGGGTTGCCTCAGAGGGTCTAAAGATAGAAACAACTTAGTGGACTGCCTCTAGTAGTTATTTTTTAACACACCACATTGTACTGTACTGTACAGTGTGTGTGACTGGACTTAACATGTAGCCTACTAATCTGACTAGTAGGAATGAGTTAAACCTGTATTGTGAATGGATAGCCTATGGGTAAACAGATACAGTATGTCATTTTCCTGAATTATAATACAACAAATACCAATATACTCCCTCAGGTTATAAGTGCAGAGGATAGACGAGATGACAAAGTGAGGTATTATTCAAGATCCCGGGTCTTTTTATAAAGCAAATAAATATCCACATATTATTAAATTAATTCATGAACCAGTAAAATATCCACATATAAATTGCACTTGGGTGTAAACAAACTGTACATCATTGACAAAACATAAAACAGAGGCCTGTCTGGATTTGGAACTTCCATATGGGTTATAAACTACATATCCATAGGCGGAGGTAATGTAAACAGTTTTTGCATCCGTGGGCGTCTGACTGTCTCAGGGGGGAGCGGTGGGCCAGTGGGGAGCTTAGAAGCACTTCCTGTGGACGATGGAGGGGCCAGCCTCGTCGTACTCCTGCTTGCTGATCCACATCTGCTGGAAGGTGGAGAGAGAGGCCAGGATGGAGCCGCCGATCCAGACCGAGTACTTACGCTCGGGGGGAGCGATGATCTAGAGAAGGGGGAAGAGGATAACCCCTCAATATGTAGTGCATTATAATGCATCATACAGTACAGAACTTGTTGAAATGTGCATATAATGCATTATAAGGAGAATATAGGTGTTACTGTGATTGGTCATTAGTAGGCTGTGATTGGTCATTCGTAGGCTGCGATTGGTCATTAGTAGGCTATGATTGGTCATTCGTAGGCTGTGATTGGTCATTCATGGGCTGTGATTGGTCATTAGTAGGCTGTGATTGGTCATTCGTAGGCTGTGATTGGTCATTAGTAGGCTGCGATTGGTCATTAGTAGGCTATGATTGGTCATTCGTAGGCTGTGATTGGTCATTCGTAGGCTGTGATTGGTCATTAGTAGGCTGTGATTGGTCATTCGTAGGCTGTGATTGGTCATTCGTAGGCTGTGATTGGTCATTCGTAGGCTGTGATTGGTCATTAGTAGGCTGTGATTGGTCATTCGTAGGCTGTGATTGGTCATTAGTAGGCTGTGATTGGTCATTAGTAGGCTGTGATTGGTCATTAGTAGGCTCACACTGTGAGATTGTGGTCAGGTTGGTCTTAGATGTTCAGTTTGTGGTCTTCAGTGAGAATAATATTTACCTTTATCTTCATAGTGCTGGGGGCCAGGGCAGTGATCTCCTTCTGCATACGGTCAGCAATACCAGGGTACATGGTGGTACCGCCGGACAGGACGTTGTTGGCGTACAGGTCCTTACGGATGTCAATGTCGCACTTCATGATGCTGTTGTAGGTGGTCTCATGGATACCAGCAGACTCCATGCCTGGTGAGATAGAAGAGAAAATGTTGTAAGCGAATGCTCTGGATGAGAAGTCACCCATGTAGGCCTAACTGGTGCTGAAATGGACAGCTCCCTCACCGCTTCAATATAAACATACAGTCTGTTTGGCAGTAGTTGGTATAATGTCTTATGTAGCTGCTATAAAGGCTATATAAGATCACACAGGGGATATTTTCTCGTCTCTTAAAGAAGTACAAATAGGTTTGATTGGACAATGAGATGCACAATGCTTCTAAGATACCTACCGATGAAGGAAGGCTGGAAGAGGGTCTCAGGGCAGCGGAAACGCTCGTTGCCGATGGTGATGACCTGACCGTCGGGCAGCTCATAGCTCTTCTCTAGAGAGGAGGAGGAGGCAGCGGTGGCCATCTCATTCTCAAAGTCCAGGGCCACGTAGCAAAGCTTCTCCTTGATGTCACGCACGATCTCACGCTCGGCTGTTAGAATAGAAGATTCAAAGTTTAGCAGTTTGGTCGAGAAGGTGTATAACGAATTATGACTGTACCATTCAATATCAAACATAGCAAATACATTTATTCTCAGGAATTATGGACTCACCAGTGGTAACGAAGGAGTAGCCACGCTCTGTCAGGATCTTCATCAGGTAGTCAGTGAGGTCGCGACCGGCCAGATCCAGACGCATGATGGCGTGGGGCAGAGCGTAACCCTCATAGATGGGCACGTTGTGGGTCACACCATCACCAGAGTCCAGCACGATACCTAGAACATGAGGTAGAATACTCTGTAAACCATGGAAATACAATTGAACAGCTTTATGTTTATCTTAATGGTGTAAACTACGATTCATGTAATGAAAGGTTGCACAGGACTCAATAATGCACTGGATCTGAATTGAATGTTAATGCATGGAGCCTTTCTCCTCTGCTCTCACCTGTGGTACGGCCGGAGGCGTAGAGGGACAGCACGGCCTGGATGGCCACGTACATGGCAGGGACGTTGAAGGTCTCAAACATGATCTGGGTCATCTTCTCCCTGTTGGCCTTGGGGTTGAGGGGGGCCTCAGTGAGCAGGGTGGGGTGCTCCTCAGGGGCCACACGCAGCTCGTTGTAGAAGGTGTGGTGCCAGATCTTCTCCATGTCATCCCAGTTGGTGATGATGCCGTGCTCGATGGGGTACTTGAGGGTCAGGATACCTCTCTTGCTCTGGGCCTCGTCTCCCACGTATGAGTCCTTCTGTCCCATGCCCACCATCACGCCCTGCAGGGGAAGAAAGGAAACTTAGTCAAAACACAATTCCCCAAAGTCAAACAGAGGGCCAGATAGTTAGTTGTAAGCTACAATAGCATAGGACATTCATTCATTCATAATTGTTCTTTCTTTGTGTCTTTCTTCTTTCTTTCTTTCACAATTCAATGGTCTAGTGGTTAGGTAAAATATAATTGTGAGCAGATAATCAAGGTTAATGCATCATGTATAGACAATTAAGTCTGGAAAAACGCCTAGTTTGATGTATGTATGATATATCCTCATAAATGTTTCATTGACTTTCATGCTGTGAAGTTTACCTGATGACGGGGGCGACCAACGATGGAAGGGAACACAGCGCGAGGTGCGTCATCTCCGGCAAAGCCAGCCTTCACCAGACCGGAGCCGTTGTCGCACACAAGGGCGGTAGTCTCGTCGTCATCACACATGATGTCAGCTGGGTTTCTGTTGTGATAAAACGCACATTAGGCTAAGTAGTATAGGCTACAGGTCATATACAACAGTGTTTCCCAACTCCGGTCCTAGAGTAGCCCCAACAGTAGCCTACCTCTTTTTGTTGTGGCCCCGCGAAACACTGGTAGGCTATACAGTATAGGCTACAGTTCACAGTATACAGGCCATACAAGTCTAACAAACTTGTTTTAAGTAATTATTTATCTCTTTTAAAACCCTATAGAGAGCACCACAATGTCAAATAACGTATTATTCATATAATAATAATAATAATAATAATAATAATAATAATAATAATAATAATAATAATAATAATGAACTGCAGATCATTATTCAATATGATTAATCATCAATTTCGCTTTTTGGTCTGAACCTGATGGAAAACAGACTAACCGAAATAAAATAGACATTTGTGCAACATTTAGGCTATACAACAGCTATATATTTTAGCAATATCCATCAACAAAAGAAGTGTAACGTTATCTTGAAAATGAAAGCTGTCAAAATTGAAATTGAAGCCCATTTAAACCCAGTTGTCTGGTTGCGAACTAGATAAGTCCAATTCAACATCTTTCAAGTGGCTTAAGTCTAGGTCTTTATGCTGAAAGTTTTCTTCTTGGCTTAGTAAATAAGTTCTGTCTGCTTCCCGTATTAGAATGACAAGTTGTCAGATACTCACCAGATCAGTACCGAGTATCCTGTTCCTATGAATGAGCAGCGGTAGTGTGGTGAGGGCAGACCCCAATTTATAGGACTACTCTAGAAGCGCCACTACGCCCGGCCGCCCGTTTCTCCTTATTTGGTTGCCATGCCCCGCTATGAGCGGAGAGGAAGGGCGGGAAGAAGAGCGCGGAGGCTCGCGCGTTGACTCCTGAACGTCCATGTATGGATGGGGACCCGCGCGGACAGACAGCTGTGAAGTATGAGGGTGTGACGATGTCTGGAGGTATTACCTCTATCTTCAACACGTCACAGTGAGTAGACATAAAGAATAATGGTATTTGATGGCTTAGGTTTCAGCAGCAGACGTCATTGACTCTTATAGACTTGAGCATGCCATGGATTTTAACAGGCATATAGGGTCTATATTTTCAGGGGTTATGTGATGTGAGGGTTAAAAATTGTAGCTCTTAGAAATGCCTTCTATGAAGAACAATGACGTTATTGTTCAGTCAATTTAAGACTCCATCCTTTCTACTGTGTGCGTGTGTGTGTGTGTGTGTGTGTGTGTGTGAGGGTGTGTGTGTTTGTGTCACTCTGTGACTAATATGTGTGATAAGGAGAGCATGGTTGAGGGCTTGTGTCATCCATCCAGTTGACTGTTGGTGGTGATTCCTCTTCATGTAGGACATAATGTCATGTAATGTCACATATGTGTATACATGTCATTGTAAAGTTAGATTAACTTGAATTTCTGTCATATGAAATTATTTTGATCTGTATGTTTGCCCTTCGTGTGTTATGAGTTCAATATGCTTTTTTCTTATAGTGAGCCTTTGAGCCCGGGGAGACTTCGGAGATAGATGAAATCCATTGGCTTTATCTATATGCATGCTGCCATGTACACTGCTCAAAAAAATAAAGGGAACACTAAAATAACACATCCTAGATCTGAATGAATGAAATAATCTTATTAAATACTTTTTTCTTTACATAGTTGAATGTGCTGACAACAAAATCACACAAAATGTATCAATGGAAATCAAATGTATCAACCTATGGAGGTCTGGATTTGGAGTCACCCTCAAAATTAAAGTGGAAAACCACTTATCTCTTTTAAAACCCAACTTTGATGTAATGTCCTTAAAACAAGTCAAAATGAGGCTCAGTAGTGTGTGTGGCCTCCACGTGCCTGTATGACCTCCCTACAACGCCTGGGCATGCTCCTGATGAGGTGGCGGATGGTCTCCTGAGGGATCTCCTCCCAGACCTGGACTAAAGCATCCGCCAACTCCTGGACAGTCTGTGGTGCAACGTGGCGTTGGTGGATGGAGCGAGACATGATGTCCCAGATGTGTTCAATTGGATTCAGGTCTGGGGAACGGGCGGGCCAGTCCATAGCATCAATGCCTTCCTCTTGCAGGAACTGCTGACACACTCCAGCCACATGAGGTCTAGCATTGTCTTGCATTAGGAGGAACCCAGGGCCAACCACACCATTATATGGTCTCACAAGGGGTCTGAGGATCTCATCTCGGTACCTAATGGCAGTCAGGCTACCTCTGGCGAGCACATGGAGGGCTGTGCGGCCCCCCAAAGAAATGCCACCCCACACCATGATTGACCCACCGCCAAACCGGTCATGCTGGAGGATGTTGCAGGCAGCAGAACGTTCTCCACGGCGTCTCCAGACTCTGTCACGTCTGTCACAGTGTGAACCTGCTTTCATCTGTGAAGAGCACAGGGCGCCAGTGGCGAATTTGCCAATCTTGTTGTTCTCTGGCAAATGCCAAACGTCCTGCACGGTGTTGGGCTGTAAGCACAACCCCCACCTGTGGACGTCGGGCCCTCATACCACCCTCATGGAGTCTGTTTCTGACCGTTTGAGCAGACACATGCACATTTGTGGCCTGCTGGAGGTCATTTTGCAGGGCTCTGGCAGTGCTCCTCCTGCTCCTCCTTGCACAAAGGCGGGGGTAGCAGTCCTGCTGCTGGGTTGTTGCCCTCCTACGGCTTCCTCCACGTCTCCTGATGTACTGGCCTGTCTCCTGGTAGCGCCTCCATGCTCTGGACACTACGCTGACAGACACAGCAAACCTTCTTGCCACAGCTCGCATTGATGTGCCATCCTGGATGAGCTGCACTACCTGAGCCACTTGTGTGGGTTGTAGACTCCGTCTCATGCTACCACTAGAGTGAAAGCACCGCCAGCATTCAAAAGTGACCAAAACATCAGCCAGGAAGCATAGGAACTGAGAAGTGGTCTGTGGTCACCACCTGCAAAACCAGTCCTTTATTGGGGGTGTCTTGCTAATTGCCTATAATTTCCACCTATTGTCTATTCCATTTGCACAACAGCATGTGAAATGTATTGTCAATCAGTGTTGCTTCCTAAGTGGACAGTTTGATTTCACAGAAGTGTGATTGACTTGGAGTTACATTGTGTTGTTTAAGTGTTCCCTTTATTTTTTTGAGCAGTGTATAAACAAATCTGGAATTAGAAAGACCTAAAAGTGGACAATTTATGATGCTGTTGTGACATCCAATTGAAATAGATAGGAAATGATGAATCCGCCATATTAGTGGTGCATCATCGGACATCTTTATGTTCCCTTGGGACGAGTCACAGAGCTACATTTGAATATGTATTGTAGCTATGGGGTACCTTGGCGTTGGGTTAGTGTTGGGTGATTGAGTGGGCAGGATAGCTTCACTTCAATCCAAGTGATCAGTTCCTTAGTCATACAACATCTCTCCCATCCCATTCCAACTTCGCATACACATACAGCACACAGCTCCGGGGTGAAGTTTCCCCTAAGTACAGATCTAGGATCAGCTTTCTCTCCCCCAATCCCAACCTTTGCCATTTAGTGGAGAAATGTAATACGGACCCAAGATCAGCATCTAGGGGAAACTTCACCCTACTCCCACTGTCCCACATATACTGAACAAAAATTGGTCAAATGCATTTGTGTTCGTTGTCCGTAGCTTATGCCTGCCCATACCATAACCCCACCGCCACCATGGGGCACTCTGTTTAAAACGTTGACATCAGCAAACTGCTCGCCCACACGACGCCATACACGTGGTCTGCGGTTGTGAGGCCGGTTGGACGTACTGCCAAATTCTCTAAAACGGCGTTGGAGTCGGCTTATGGTAGAGAAATGAACATTAAGTGATCTGGCAACAGCTCTGGTGAACATTCCTGTAGTCAGCATGCCAATTGCACGCTCCCTCAAAACTTAAGACATCTGTGGCATTGTGTTCTGTGACAAAACTGCACATTTTAGTGACCTTTTATTATCCCCAGCACAAGGTGCACCTGTGTAATAATCATGCTGTTTAATCAGCTTCATGATATGCCACACCTGTCAGGTGGATGCATTATCTTGGCAAAGTTTAAACGCTCACTAACAGGGATGTAAACAAATTTTGCACAACATTTGAGAGAAATACGCTTTTTGTGCGCATGGAATTTTTTTGGGGATCTTTTATTTCAGCTCATGAAACATGGGACCAACACTTTACATGTTGCGTTTATATTTTTGTTCAGTGTACAATACAACACACCCACACACCATATCTGCAAAAGATGCTATTAACATTCAAATAAACAGAGCTGTGACTTCCTATGGTGAGAGCAGTTGTCCAATGCCCAGAATGGGATAAATAGTAAGGCCATGGTTACTAGGGTTTCTAGTTTGGTACGAGACTCTCCCTTCCTCACAAGTTACATTATCACTCTCTAACAGTGCTATTTTACTGCAGTAAGTACATCATGGCAACAATGAGCTATCCATTTGAGCTGTGTATGTTTTTTCTGAGTCCCTGAACTCTGTATGTGTATTTTCTTTAGGTGTAAATGGGTTTTTGGTACCGTGGCTATCGCAGCCAGATCGGCCTCTTCATATCCTCTGACACTGGGGGAAGTCATGTGACTAGATGATATAACAGACAGCCAGTAGTGCTTTACCCATAATCCCACCCACATTCTCTGTCTGAGCATCTGTCAGCTGGCCTCGGGTCTTCAGGGCTGGGATAAATGGTTGGGGGTTATGAAGAGTGGGGTCGTGGTTAGAAATAACTGAGATGGGTTTTGCTATGCTGATAAAATGTCAGATTTATGATATGCTTGTTTTATTGTATTTTGGATGCACAATAACTAGCCTATGAAGTGTCAGTTTCTAAAATTGATTTAGAAAGGCAAAACCTTTAGCGCACAATTTGAAAAAGTTAAAAGTTACAGTACATTTAAAACTCGCAGCTTTCACTGTACTGATGAAAGCATAAACATGTGTATTAAGGATGGGCATGC